AACCCCAAAGCCCTAAAGCCCTAAAAGCCCTAAACCCTAAACCCTAAGCCCTAAAGCCCTAAAGCCCTAAACCCTAAAACCGAAACCCATCCCAGGCCCTGGCCGCCAGCCCGGCGTTGGCCGAGATGATGTCCTGGGTCAGAAAGGGGACCAAGTAAGAGGCTAACGAGGTGTCAAATTACGATAGGGTTTAGGGTTTAGGGTTTAGGGTTTTGGGTTTAGGGTTTAGGTTATAATAGGGCTTAGGGTTGAGGGTTTGGGTTATAATAGGGTTTAGGGTTTAGGGTTTATGTTACAATAGGGTTTAGGGTTAAGGGTTTAGGTTATAATTGGGTTTAGGCTTTAGGGTTTAGGTTATAGTGGGGTTTAGGGTTTAGGGTTTGGGGTCATTGTACGGTTTGAACCGCGGCGTCTAGAGGGCTTTTGAGCAGGGCTTACGGTGGTGTTTTAAAGGCGTTCTGATTTTGCAAGCTTTGAGGACTTGGGCCTAATGTATCTACAAAACGTTTCCTTGCAAATCCCCTAATAGCTGAATACACCTCCGAGCCAAGACACGACCCCAGACTCCAATAAAGCCCGTAGGCCCTCTGACCGTCTTCCAAGTGCCAAAGGGCCAACTGGAGCCCTGTCGCTGCGGCAACCGAGAAACTCTGCAGAGCCTGGGCAAAGCAGTGGCTTTTGTAGGGGTCTATCTGGGCTTAAGGGGTTTAGGGGGTTTATGTTGGGGTCTGTGAAGGGTTGTTGGGTTTGGGCTTAAGGGGTTTAAAGGGTTTAGGGAGGTTTGTGTTTATGGTCAATGTATAGGTGCTGTGAAGTTTTGGAAGGGTCTGAATCGGGCCTGATGAGGTCTTGTAGATAGCCTTGAAGAAATCAGCCGATAAGCTCGGCACGACGGTTTTGATGAACCCTAAACCCGAAGGCAAACAGATTAGCCTGGAGATCGCAAGCCAGGATGAGCCTAAGAAACTTGGAGTTTGTTTGGCGTGTAAGATGTTTCGTTAGGGCTTCAGTTGTCGGAGCTCTTTGGTAAGTGGCGGAACATGGGTGTCCAGTTGTCCGACAATGTCTGCATAAAGCTCTAGACTCTACGCAGCAATTTTGCGAACGTTGACAAGTATTTTTTGTCATACGTTCGGCCAGGGCCTATCTGAAGGTGGGCATGTTTCGGCTTTGGATGTAAGATTGAAGGCCCTCAACCCTGAACCCTAAACCGTTGAAGGCTATTAGGGCTGGCTTACCCCCTACGCCGGCTGCCCGAAAAATTGATCCCCAAATCTGGCGCCTAAAAACCCCATGCTGACACTGACACACATAATATAGGGGCCTTGACATCTAGAATAGGGCTTGGGGGGTGTATTATACAATACTTATAATAGGGAACCACCAAACAGTATTGGTAATTATTTAGGCTTCTATAGGAAACCTCAAGCCTCACACCCTAAGTGCTTTAGGGTTCGCGGTGCATGGTGACTCCCGGCTTTCCGCCCCAAGGACTCAGTAAGATGTTGCGGGGTTTTGGGGCTCAGAATCAGGGTTTAGGGTTTAGGGATCGGGAGCAGTATATCTCCCCAATTTGTTGGGGCATAGAATCAGGGTGTAGGGTGTAAGACTTAGGGTTCGGGAGCAGTATATATCCCCACTTCTAGCTATTGAGGCCCCTCTAATTTACCCCAACCTCTCAGACGAGTCGGGTTCGTAGGGCTCCTCGCCCACGGCCAGGCATCCCCACGGAAGCCTGCGATCGAGTTCTTACTTCTTCGAGTGACAAACGTCGACAAGGCTTTAGAGTGTGGAGAAGGACTGCACGTAAATACTTACACATAGCATCTGCAGATGTTCTATTCTGGTGTTGGCACGCTCGCGTCACTGTGCTGCCCTCAAACAAGGACCCGAGATTGAAACAAAACATTTCATGTCGGCCTTCGCAGGGATCCTGTGTGGGATCAGGGTTCAGGGTCTACAGTTTTGGCAGGTTTCAAGCGGTCCGAGAAGGGATGTACTGCTTTACGCGATTCTGATCGGCGTCTTGTCATAATATGTATGCCTGCGCACTCTCTTGTAGTGTCTGAGATAGAGCATGTTTCAGAATCGGGATAGGTTTGTCTTCTGCGATATGCATGTTTTGCGATGTGGACTTCTGGATCTTCAGGGATCTTCAGGGCTGCTAGAGACAGCAAGTTCACATGGGGCTCCGAGCTTACTGGCAGCATTAGGGCGCCTACTTGGATGTCGTAGCTCAGGCAACTATTACCACCATTTAACAGTTCAGCCCATACATTTCATGACCTCACTTATAACTTCCCCCTAAACCCTAAACTCTAAGTCCCAAAACCTAAACCTACACTCCAAACTCTACGCCCTCTTCGCGCGCCCAGAGTACAGGACCTGCGGCAGCCGAGTTGACAGAGAAGAGGTCCGGGCGCTGGGAGGAAGCCTGGAAGCCGTGAATAAGTCAGTGGTTTAGGATTTATATAAGGTTTAGGGTTTAGAGTTTAGGGGTTTAGGGTTTATATAAAGTTTAGGGCTTAGGGTTTAGGGTTTAGGGGTTTAGGGTTTAGGGTTTAGGGGTTTAGGGCTTTGGGCTTGGAATTTGGGGCTTCAGGGTCTGCGAGGGCCCCCAGTGTAAGCCCCTGGAGCTCCGTTGTAAGCCCTCATACACCCCCAAAACCCCACAAAACCCTATACCCCAAAAAAACTGTACCAGCAACGGTGCCTTTAGCAGGACCCTCAGTGCAAAAAAAGGCCTTAATGGATCGTTTAGATGAAGCCCTATAACATCCGTAGAGGAACCTCTAACTAAAGTATCTAGCTCCCTTGAAGGAACCTCTATGGCATCCTTCAAGGACCTACCTAAGACTCTGAAACCCCTGAACCCTAAACCCCATAAGGTCGAAGAGTGATCCTTTGGGGGGATCCTGTAACAGAAGGAAGCCAGAAGTCGGAACATCGCTATCCTCAGGCCCTCCAGCACAAATCAGCCTAAAATGTTTAGGGTTTAGGGTTTAGGGTTTAGGGTTTAGGGTTCATGCTGCAGTTGTCTAGGGTCGATGTAAATAAACAGCAAGGGACGCTCTGGGGCTCCCGGCTTTTTCACACATAAGGCTTTGTATGTTTCTTGTAGCTTCTTCTTGTGTACTCATAGGATCCCTCTAAAAAACCTAAACCCTAAAACCCCAAATAGAGGAGCCAAGGAACTCGGAGGTCCTCGAAGAGGGAAGCGGCAGCAGCCCAGGCCCGTGCCTCTCCGTAACTTCGGGGTTTTTGCTAAAGGAAGTTACCCACCTGAAAATGTCCTAGATTTGGAGTGTCCCGAACCCCTAACCCCTCTCCCAAAAGGTCCGAAAGGTACGATTTAGGGTTTAGGGTGCTAGTACCACCTGGATGCGCGAAAACTGGTTTAGGGGTTTAGGGTTTTTCGGGGTTTAGGCTTCAGGGCATAGGTTGTAGGTTTAGGGTTTAGGCTCTATACGGCCTCGGGGGGATAGCGAACCCAAAGGGTCCTAAGTACCTATACCTGAACCCTTAAACTCAATCTAGACCCGGATTCCAAAGCAAGTGAAGGACAAAGCCCCTAAAGCACTCGAGCCTTACCGCAGGCGGCAATCGCCACATTGAAGGAAACCACCTGTCCGGGTTGCGATGCTGCTTGCATTCCTTGCTGACCCGCCAAGGGTTCGAAGTTCCAATCGAAAGCACGAACTGCTGAACAAACTCCCAAACCCAAACCCTAAACCCTGCAAACCCTACGTCTGGAGGCATTTCCCGGCTGATCTGCTCGAAGCCAACAAGGCCCTGATGTATTCGCCAGGGGAAAAACTAGTGAGATGCTCGGGGTGAGCGTTGACAGCCACTTCCTCTGGCATTTTAGGGTCTCGGGAGGTTTTTAAACCTGAATGTGTAGGGATCTGGGGTTTTCAGGCGGTGGGGCTTGTAGCAATCAAGGGTTAAGTTTCCAAATGGAAGCGAAGACATCAAGGGCTGCACCCTGAACCCTACATATACCCTAAAGCCTATATACTCTTAACCCTAAACCACACTAAACCCCCAATCCCCGCACCCTACAAACCCCTGCAGAGGATCCGCTTTTTCACCCCTTGGGCGCTCAGCGGGATCCTCACGGCTGTTGAAGTTTTCGACCTGAAAGGGGGCACACAAATGGTTCTTAGTCTTGACGATGGCTCTAACAGCTGGGGATCCTATCAGGGTTCTATAAGGGATCCCGGCTGGGAAGAAGTAAGGCAGTAGGGGATCTATAAAGGGTCCTGTAAGAAGGCTCCATAAGGCTCCGACAAGGCCTTGAGGATGACAAAAAACAGGTTCAATGCGGTTTTGTGTTGATGTATACGGCTTTCTAAATAAGGTGGTTTGTTTAAGCGGTGCTCTTTAAACTTGTTAAACAAATCTAGCTGTCAGGTCTGTACGGCTTTAAGGTCCGAGCGCTTCTAACGGTTCTTGGGCTGCGAGGGCTTTGAGGTCTTTGCGATCTTGCTTTTCAGGTGTTGCGGGCGCTTTCGGCTCGAATGCTTTGGTCTGTTGGGTCTTGAAGCATTAGGTAGGGGTTCGCTACGGTCCCAAATGTGGGGCTTGTGCTTTTGGCTTTATGTGTTGGGCCTTGCGTCTCGAGGTTAGTGGCTGCGCAGTTTAAAGCTTACGGCTTTAGAGTGTTGGGCTTGCGAGCAAGGGCCTTGCAAGCTCCACTCTGAGCCCTGGGCCGTCTTCAGGTGGGGTTTAGGGTGTAGGGTTCAGGGCGCATTCTTCGGATGGAGGCTTTCGCGTTGAGGGGTGCTGCTGTTAAGGTTCGCGGTTTGAGAGTTTGGGCTACACCGACCCCTAACCTGGCCGTAGACTCCAGCAATGGCCCCGCTTATGAGGCCGAATGACCTCTAGACCCTTTAGACCAACACTAAACATCTACTCTCTTAGTAGGTTCTCAGGTTTATATTGCAGAAATACAAACAAGCACAGAGCAGAAGCAGCACCATGGCACGAACCCCATAAAGAAAAAAAGCCTTTGTAGCAACCCAAGGGGGGGCGGGGGCCCGGAGGAAGCCAGGCCTGCAGCCAGAGGCGGAAGAACAACCGGGGCGATTGAGGGTCGTCTGTGAACCTGATTTTTGTTAAGGTCAGGTGGTTGTAGGAGTGTTAAGGCTTCCGGGCTTTAGGTTCTTGGGAAGGTTTTGGGGCTCAAAGTGTAGGGCGCTACACTGCGGTTCAGGATTTCAGGCCTTGCTACGGGTCAGGTGGATGTGCTGCTTTGACTCGCTCATAACCATAAAGCCTCAAATTTCCATGCCTCGATAGACGATGAGCGCTACAATCCCTAAAGCTTTAAGAAGCCAACGGGTCAAAGCGCAAAAAATACACTTTCTCCATACTACATTACAAAACTTTACATAGGAGCTAACAGTCCAAATAGAAAAAAAATTAGGTGCAGTTACAGTGCGGCAACTGAAAAGCTCACGACTCGACCTGCTTACCCTACAGTGTCACGCACAAGAAGCTCGCAACCTCAACCCTAAAACCCGCAGAAAGCCAAAGCACGAAACCCCCCTGGCTTGCTTTCGAAGGGCGCAGTCCTTGCGTGGAGCCACCGATAGTTGTCCACCTAGTCTGGGGGAAAGGGTAACCCTAAACTCTAAACTCTAACTAAAGTTGAGGCTTTAGGACTTTAGGGCTTAGGTAATCATGCCAAGGCACAAGGTAAGCCTCCCCAGTGGTGAGGTCCTGCGGGGGGTCCAAGCCCAAAGGATTTCGGGGTGCGTGTGCAGAACGATATTATTCTGCACCCTGCAAACGACGGAAACGCGAAAAACAAAAACTAACTTGGACTGTCCAAGAACCTAAACCCGCACCCCTTGCCCCCAGCCCCCTAAAACCGAACCCCATGATCGTAGCCTCCACCTCCACCTAAGCACCCCTCAGCAGCGGCACGGTCCCAATGCTGAACCACGGAAGGATCGCTGCAGACCTCCTCAAGCTCTGCCAGTGCTGAGCGCACCTTCGGGAGTTGAGGTACCAGGTCGTCTTCGCAAGTTCAGGTGCAGGGGCCTAGTAGACCTGTATAGGCACTTTCTGGGGATGATTACTGCTTCTTCCCACCCCTATAGGAAGCTTCGGGTCCGAGGATCTAATAAATGCGAACTGCACCATTGGCTCCCTTGCACCTTCCCGATTATGCACGTCAACGAGTATACATTCGATGAGCTTGCAATGCTTCTACCAACATTGATGCCAGTGTCTGGCGACGATTGCGCTACGGCGAAGGCAGACACAGAAGTCTGGTCTTATCGAGCACTCGCTCGCAAGGGGAGTTTGAGAACCTGACGTTTAAGGGTTCAGGATAAGCCTCAGAATTTGACGTAAACAGCTTGCAATTACAAGGTCCTTGCTTTCCTAAGTTTGGAAACCGCAAGCTAATCCGAAACGTCTAGTTAGCTTTCTGAGCTGAAGAGCACTTGTGTGTAGTCCCTCGTGTTTCCGAAATCTTGACTGTGCCGGGGCACCATAAACCCAACCAGCAGCAGAATAAACCCACAAAATCACGACCCCAGACTCATGGAAAGGGAAAGGTGCTTGGATCCAGAGCTACGCCAGTTGCACCTGATCCTCTTCTTCGGTGCCTCGATAGACCGCCATGATGGTCTCAACCTCAGGGCTCTTTCGGGTGCTTTTCTGTGATGATAAACCCGCTGGCGATCCCAATATAGTGACGCTATACAGCCATTCCAGCACAGTTACGCTATACAGCTCTTCGAATCATAAAGGCATCCTGTGATAATCGGCGAATGCTTAATTATGGTACAATGTCCAACAAAGCCCATATATATATATATATATGAGGCAGGAACCTTTATGTATAACATGATGATCCTTCTTTGCTTTAGAACTAGTCTCTACTACTACTACTACTACTACTACTACTATTACTGCTACTACTACTACTACTACTACTACTACTACTTCTGCTACTACCACTACTACCACTACTACCATTACTACTACTACTACTACTACTACTACGACTACTACTACTACTACTACTACTACTACTACTACTACTTACATAGGGATGCATGGGTGGTTCGGACAGGGCTGTTTACTTCTGGATTACAGC